AGATATCTGCTCACATCTTCCCAGGAAAAGTTAACACAATAAAGATAAAAAGTGCAAAAGCAAATTATATATTAGAAAGTGCTAAAAATATTTGGAAAATATAACAAGGTAAGAAGGGCAAGCAATATTCGAAGAAGTGTCACCTGAGGAAACAACAGTGTAAAGGCCCTGAGATGGATGTGTGAATGGCGTGTTCTAGGAAAGGCAACCGTGTAGTTAGAATAGTATTTGTAAGGAGTAGGGGTACACTGTGGTGAACCAGATCATGCAGGACATTACAGACCTCTGAAATAATGGCATTTGGCTCCTTCTCCCACAGAATAAAAAGCCTTTGAAAAGCTATGATGAGAATTACAATGTAAAAGTGCTGGCTATTATGAGGAGAATAGAGTACAGAGTTCAGAGAGAAGACAGTCAGATCAGGAGGCCACGGTCATGAACTCTCCTGGAGATGATGGTAGGTAGCTTGAACCATCATTATGAACTGATGACAGCTGAGTGGTGAGAAGTGGTCATTTTCTGAGTAAATTTGATAGATAGGACCAGGTGGATCTCTTTATAAATCATCCATGCAACAGGAGTGGAAGGCAGCAGCATGCCTCTGAAATACCTCACCGAAGCATTAGGGAAAAGTGAACGACCTTAATAGGTATGGAGGAAGAAGATTATAAGCTGCTTTGTAGATGTTATATCCGAGGTATTTGAAAACAATATATACATTTCTAGATACACTTGTATATACTAATCTATAAGAACTTCTTTGCGCCTTATATTTATTTCTTGTGGGTATTTTTTTTTTCTTTCCAGGACATATAAGTTGCTTTATGCAATAGGGAAATTTTGTATGGATTCATTTTTGTATTTGCCTCTCTGATACCACCTTCTCCCCCAGCTTTGTACACATTTTATCTTTGCCTTTGACTGAGGAGGTTCATGAATATATGACAGTTGCTTCCTCGGCAAAGCCAGTGGGATAATCACTCTGAGGTTGTGTGAAATCCCTCTTGACATTACACTAGCTTCTATTTCAGCTGTTTGGAGAGGGCTCTTGCTATTGACTTTGGGGAGTCAGCTGAGAAGAGCCAGTCTCAGAGCCCATGAACATCCTTGACCACTGCCAGTAAGTTGAGTAGAGATTTACTCTACCAGGCAGGGAACTCCATTCTGCAAACTGTCTGGTCAACATACTAATGCAAATGCCATCTGGCTAGCACCTTGACTTCAGCCTTGGGGACCCTGAGTTGAGAGCCCAGAGATGCAATTCCCAGCCCACCAGGACCTGCATGATGGAGAATGGGAATTCTTAATTGCTGAGACATGATGATTCATTATACAGTAATGGAAAATCAGTACATATAGTATTGTGACAAGACACTTCCTCCATCTTATATTCTTGTTGAGTCCACGTCAAATTTAACTAGAATTTTATCTCCTTGATGAGGATTCCATGGAAAATTATTCAACTCTATTTCTAGGAAGCAAAGGTCAGGTTGTCCTAGCTAATGTATCTTAGCTTCTGCTAAACTACCTGTTGGTGTGAAACCCCCTTCAGCTAATTGCTTATCTCGGTTTCTATTAAACTGCTTGCTTCTGTAAAGCCTCCCTGCAGCTGCTGAGCAAAATGTCAGGGCATGGTTTCTACCCTCAAAAATCTTTCAAGGCTGTACCTAGGTCCCCAGATAATTGACCATAGTTCCATCCAGCTGGAATAAAGACTTCCAGTTGTCTATAAATGGTGGCTGACTGGTCATCCTTGGTGGGCTACCAATAACAGCATCCCTGTCCACATTTTTAGAAGGAAATGTGGCTTCTAAAGCCACATATAATGGCTGATAAAATAAATATAAAACCTATCCCCAAATCCTATCAACATGAGTGTTTTTATACTACTGTAAATAAGTAAAGTCATGTATATTGACATTTTTTTTCAAGGATCATAGAGTCTTAAAACAGAAAAACAAAACAGTGATCACCATAAGTGGCAAATTTAAAACTCATGGGTTTTTTTTTTGGCTCCATAACTATTGTATATAGCATTCTGTCATGGCTTCCAACAAATCTGGCCTTAAACACATGCTTGCTTTCAAGACCAACAGGCAACACTGGCTGCCAGGTCTCCCAGCATCCCTCAGTTCCTACCTATTGCAGAGTCCTCCTGGCTAGCATACCCTGCTTCCCACTCTGTACTCTCCAGTCCAGGGTCTGGGCTGCCCTGTCTCCAGCTCTTCTTTAGCTGACCCAGCCTTTTTGGCTATGCCAGTCTTTTTTACCCCCTTTGTTTTCTCGGCCAGTCTCTTGGCCCAGGCTGCCCATCTTGATTGGTAGCTTCTCTCTGGCTTTCCTTCCTCTCTTTCCTCACATGGCTTGCCTCAGTCTGGTCATGTTCATTCTGGACTCTCCCAGATATCTCTGTCTCTGCCTCCTTCTGTATTCTCCCTCATACCTACAATAAACCTTCTCCTCCCCCATAACTAAGAGCAGTCGTGCCCTCCCTTGTATTTTTATTTTTCATTCAATATTACTGATATATCAGCAAAACACTGAACTCTAAGATCTATCAGAAACCTATTGGATAAACAAAGCAAGGCTCACTCCTTCATACAATGCTCATACTTAGCAGCATCAGCCATATAGTGTTGAGGGGAAAACAAACAAACAAACAAAAAAAAAAACCCCACAGGTGAATACACACAGTATTAGTCAATCTGGAGTTCAGAGAGATAAAAAATATGAATCATAGTTGGTAGTTGTGTGTAATCAACCCATATAGGATAGCAAAGCAATGCCAAATTAAAATTCTGGATACTGGTTACCCATGGGGGAGGTGAGTAAGGAGATGGATCAGGGAAAATCAATACAAAGATTCAATAGGTATAATCTTTTCTAAATCTGGGGGCAGGCATATGGGTACACACATGTTCTCCTACACCTTTACAGGTAGTCTGCGAACTTAGAGGAAAAGGCAATGGTTTAATTTGTTGTTTTTCTTCTTTCTTTTTTTCTTCCAGACTCTGACCTTCTCCATCGTCCAAGCTAAGAGCAGAACGGTAGCAATCCACACCCAATTTAGTGCTCTGATCTAGGTCAGGGAACACTTATCTCTCCCACAGCCCATTAAACATGTTGACTTTGTAACAATTGATAATCATGATTTTCTGCATAACCAAACTCCTTGGGTTGTTCATTTGTTATTAGTGGTAATCATAGAACACTGAGAGCTTTTCTTCATAAAACTGTATGTGCAGAAATTGTTCCTTAGCATTCTTTCTTTCCCAGCTCAAGGAAGAGAGACACAGCAAGAGTCAGAACTGATATACAGCAGCCTTGGCTCCAAGCACAGTGCTGCAGCATACAAATACTGACATCCTTATGCCATTTTCACTCCAGCAGTCACACAGCCCACGTGCTGGGGTAGTCTTCCTCACAGGAGAATGCAGGACACTTGGGGCTCTGTGCTTTCCCAAATTCAAACAGTATTTCAGGGCGGCAGGGAGCTGGAAGGTGGTGACCACTAGGACAGCTAATGGTACCCAACCGACACTGGGAGTTCATCAAAGAGTTTGCAAGATGCGATTGTTGAAGCTAGGAGGAAGAGGAAATGTATTGGGGTGGAGGAGAACCTGGGAGAGGATTGATCCAAGAGTTGCAGAGAGTGGGATTCAATATCTCCCAGCAGATATATATATGTATATATTAATTATATATAATATAATTATATTAATTGTATATTAATATATAATGTATATAATAATATACATATTATATATGTATATATTAATATGTGTGTATTAATATATACATATATACATATATCTATATCTGCTGACAGTTACTAATTGGATGACGATTCTTGCTTCCATGACATATCTGGGTCCTCATAACAGCTATGATGGGCTGTGTGGTCTGAGAGATACTAGGGTTGCATCCTCACACATCTGAGCATTAATCATCTCTCAATGTCTATGAAATGGGTATAATAACCCCCCCTAGTTGTTGTCGTCGTTTTGTCATATCAGGAATTACATGTCCCTTTGTTATTAGCCATCTACCCTCAATTTAACAGCCAGTGTGGTGTTCACATGTGTCATCCCAACACTCCACAGAGGGAGGCAGGAGAACTGCTAAAAACCAAGACCCTGTTGCAGAAATGTCAGGAAATTAATTAGATCAAAATTTTAAAATACAACTCCCGCACCTTGCACTTAAAACTCAACTATTGATTCCCATTGGGTAGCTAAATCCCAAACTGGTTTAAAATAGCTATCTTAGGCTTTTGGTGAGGCGTTCTTCATTTCCTCTCAGGTGCCGTCTACTGTGGCACTCTGCCACATTAAACTAATCCTAGTTCCCTCAACTCCCCGTGCTCACTCAGCTTTCCCCACAACGTCTATCCCCTCACCTTTCTCCAAAAACTCCACTCCTTCAGAGTTAAACCTGGCAGTCTGCAATGGAGAGCTCTTAATACATCCCTCTCCATTTGTATACACCCATATATTTATCTACAACTAACAACCCAGAGGCATTTATAAGTTTATGTGAATTCATCCACATGGTATTTCTAAACCACCTCAGAATATAAACTTTAAAACTGTTTTTAAACACTCTGCATGCCAGGATAATGTGCCTGTATAATTTGCATTAACAATAACAACAACCCATTTTCTGTTTATTGGGGGCAATTTTTAAAATACTATAGTGATTCTAGCTTCTGTTGGCCAAAACACATGTCATATATGCATTTTTACTATCATTTCACAGTTCAGCATAAAATTTGCCCAATTGTGAAAGAGTGTCAGACCAAGGATGGTCACCTGTCCACACGTCTGTGCAGTCCAAAACAGTAGTTAGTCTGGGGTAGGCAATACTGGGAACCATATCACAGTGCGTGCAGAAGTGTCAGTTATTTTGGTTATTGTGGCTCTGCATGACATCCCTTCTCTACCTCAACTAGAAAAACGTCAACACTGTGACAACAGTACCTCACAGAAGGCTCCTCTTACCTCAGCATCAAAGCGCGGGTCCTGGTAGGCATCGCTGACATTCACAGGAAGGCCTGTCGAAGCAACCAGCTCAGCGATACTGTTATTGATCAGCCAGTCGGAGTAGGATGATTTCTCCATGCTTTCTTTGAAACTGCCAGAGCACCGAGTCAGCAATAAGAAAGAAGAGAAACTAAGTTTGTTGTAGAGTAAGAACTGCCAGAATACATTGATAGCAACGTTACCTGTCCTCATTACCGAGGGACAAATGATATCAGTCATAGAATGACAGGGAGGTAATTACCAGAAGCCACTTTGAAACTATTTCCCCACTAGCATGGAAGGCAATTAGACCATGGATAGAAACACAGATCGTCCACAGGCCAGAGAGTAACTCCAGGTTGTGTTTAAGCCTCATGTAGACAGATAAAAAGTACACAACCAGGTAAAGACCGAAACTGACAACAGGTTACCAACACATGACTTTGTACATTTCCTCTGGGTTCCTCAGCTTGATCCCCACTAGCTGAACATCCCAGATGTTTTGGCACTAAGAATGGGGTGAACTGGATAAAAGTTGGACATTTTGGTGTAAGGCTGGGACACAAGGCCTTACGCAGGCTAGTGATAACATAGCCCTACTTGTGGCGTTTCTAGTCTAAGCCACATCTTATTTAAGAAAATACTAAGGCATTGTTATTACACTGTTTGTACACATTTGTGCATAGTTGTTATTATCATGCTGTATGTGTCTGTTTGGAGTCCATGGCATGCTGGGAAGGGCAGGGGCTGTCATGGAGACCACTAGATGCATGAATGAGCAGGTAGTGTAGGTTATCTACAATCATCCCCACATCACAACTGTAGGGGCTGATGCTCTGTAACTCAGGATATATTTGTGATGTTATTCATCTCTTATTGCATATAAAGTACAGATAGCACACAAGCTTACTCTCTGTGGATCTCTAGATGCAAATGGAAGTTTTAATAAGAGGCTCGGGTTTATAGCTATTAAGTGGTGTGTGAATCAAAGAACTTCAAAGAAAAGACATTTTGTTTTCTAACACAAATAACAAGGTCTGTGTTCTTTTTTTCTCCTTGCTTCTTTGTATTTATGACAGATGAAGTTTTATGTTATGTTTTAATGAAAGCAAAATAGAGGAAGAAATATGGTGAAATATACCTGACATGTGGATCTAGGTTAACAGAGTCATTTCTAAATTTATAAAAATGTGTGGACTGAATTCTTGATGCTCTTTTGAAGAGGCAATGACTTGCTAATATGTTGTTTGTTGTCTGTATACTGTACTTTACAATACTTTCATTTTGTGTGAGTGTGTGTGTGAGTGTGTGTGTGTGTGTGTGTGTGTGTGTGTGTGTGTGTAGGCCTCCAGAGGGCCATGTCAAGTGTTTTAATTGATCACTCCCCATTTAATTTCTGAGAGACTCTCACTGATTTAGTTAGGCTGGCTGGCCAGTGATATGGTGAGACCCACCTATCTCTGTCTCCTAGTGCTTCAGTTACAGATGTCTCTGTCAGGACCCATTTTAACATGTGTGCTGGGGATATGAACTCGGGTCTCATGCTTGCCGTGGCAGGCATTCTACCAACCAAACCATCCCTCCAACTCCATACAATATAATTTTAGAAGTGTTTCATGGTCAACTAGTTTGGGAAGTGCTGGCCTCTTATGTGCGGTAGGCTGTTGGGAAAAGGGCTGAAGTGGGACCTTAGAAAGACCTGAGTGAGAAGACGGGGAAGAACCCAAGATGAGGAAGAGTAGGGACAGGGAGCAAGCATTAGCCACTTCATTAAGTGTCTTTCAAGATGGCCATTAAGTCCACAGGAGAGATTGGAGGTGTGAGGAGGAAACACCAGGAATTAAAGACAAACACAGAAAAATGAGCAATCAGATAGTGAGGAATAAGACTAGAAAGAAGGCTAAGCTCCAAGAATTGGACTTTGATAGAGTTTCTGGGAACTTAGATATAGGCAGGAAAGAACTGTTTAAGGATTTGGAAAAGAGCTGGGCAGTGATGGCACACACCTTTAATCCCAGCACTCAGGAGGCAGAGGCAGGCAGATCTCTGTGAGTTCGAGGCCAGCCTGGTCTACAGAGTGAGTTCCAGGACAACCAATGCTGTTACACAGAGAAAACCAAAATGAATGAATGAATAAAAGAATGTGGAAAAGAAAAGGGTATTTGAGCAGTGAGTTTAGTAACTGTAATTCAGAGGTAGAGAATAAAAAGTGTTAGCCAAGAGTGACAAAAAAAAAAAAAAAAAAAAAAAAAATGAGAAGAGACCTCTGTGGGCTACAGATGTCAAGCCTGCATCAAGGGCTTGGTAGCCAGACACCGGCGGCGGCATACATTTTGCTCCTGAATACCTGGTATTATTCCTAGCAAGGGTTTGTTTTGAGGCTGAAGAAGATGGGAAAGATGACAGGTGTTGCAGAGGCATGGACAGATTGTTCATGAAGAAACAGCCAGAACCTCAATCAGTTCTCAGGGCTGCAAAGCTGACAGACACGGAGGGGAGATTGTTTTTACGGACATGGCATGCAAATGGCTGGAATTTCTCAGAAAGGGCTTGTGTAGAGAAATTGACATGGAGGGAACGAAAGGAGGGAAAAGGCAGGAGCCCAGGGAAGGGAAACAGAGGAGAAAGGAAGAGAAAACAAACAGACATTGCTGTAGAACAGGGCCCGTCCGGATTGTTGACTAATTTGTTGTCTGCATGGGCATCTTTATAAGAGAGTTGTGAGCCTCTATATCCCATCAGCTTGGAAAAACTGAAGCTCAGAGATACTCTCTACCTTCCTGAGAGATCCGGTTTTTAATTAACTCTCACTCCTTATTCCCAGATGACTGTTGCCTTATTACCCTTCAGGAGTTTAATAAGCATAAGAGGAGCAAGGCTCGTGGACTTTGCTCTGAAAACAAAGGAGAGCCACAGTGAACACCAGAGGGCTTGGGAAGATGCAGAAGTATAGACACTGCTCCAAGCTGCAGGGAAGTGGGGATGGAAAAACACTGGGCTTGCTCAAAAGAGCCTCGGGTTCCCACTTACAGAATTCCCATAGAAGGAATGGTGACAAAACACTGACCCAGGGCTCCTGACAGCCTCCTTCTAAATACACGACATTTTAGGATGGTCTCAGTTCAGACTGCATACTGCATTGAAATAATTGCAGCATCACACCACTGTTGTAGAGGTAGAACCATTGATTCCATGCAAGGCACTGTTCAAACTGTCTTTGCATTCACAGTGTGTACCACCCAGCTGAAGAGGAGATGGAGTGTATAAATGGAAATGCCCAGGACAATTCTCAAATGCAAAAATTGCCATGCAGCAGGTAGCCAAGTCATCAGGTCAGTTGAATGAACTATGAACGCTGAAGGGGCCCAGGGGCTTCAGAAAGGAGGCGGGACCTGAAATGCCCTATAGCTGTGACAGTGTGACAGACTTCCTGATAACCCCCTTGCATCTGTACAGTTGATGATCCATAGGTACACGTGTTAAGGTTTAGGAGATAGGATACCCAGAGGGAAATCAGGCAAGTTGATCTGTCATTTACATCATTGTCTTAGTCTGGGTTGCTGTAACAAAATACCATAGACTAGGTGGAAAATGAAAAACAAATATTTATCTCTCATGGTTCCGGGAAAAGTTCTTACAGATTTGGTGTCTGGTTCCTTCTTGGGTGTTTCCCATGGTGGGAAGAGTGGGAGAGCTCTCTGGGGCCTGTTCTATAAGGGTACTAACCCCACTCATCACATGAACTAATCATCTCCCAGGTGCAGCACCTACAGATATTCCCACACTTGGGACTAGGTTTCAGCATATGAATGTTCAGACCACAGAAATCATATTCTGGCTTTTACACCAGTTCATCTTTTCAATCCCAAGTGCAGCGTGGTTGCAGCTTTCAAAACCTTGCTTCATTTCGTTGTTCTTATTTTTTAAGAGTGACTTTGTGGATTAATTCAGACCCTCATTTTGAAGTCAGATCTGTCCCATTCAAATGGCCCTTCTTACCTTTGTGATTTTAGGTGAGTTACCAATGCTTCAGTTGTAAACTGGGGATAATAATACTAATTAAACAGTTGTAGTTCATACTAAGGTAATACTTTCAGTCAAGAGTTTAGCATAATAAACATCTTTTTACAGCATCACATTTGTAGCAAATTCTTCACACAGTCAGTATTCTTTTATACATTACATAAATGCAATGCATTCAATCACAAATGAAAGGGCCTGATGTAATTCTGGTGTTTGTGTTGGTTGTTTGTTCTTTTAGACAGGCTTTTCAGACCTACTTGTTCTGACTAATGAAGACCCTTGTATTCACTGATGTTTCCTTTCTTTGTGCTGATTGCTGTTGGAAAAAGACATTGGACAGCTCTGCAAACATAGTAGGCCTCTATAAAACAGTTGTTCCCAACCTGTAGCCTCCCAACCTCCAAAAGACCATTGGGAAACACAGATGTTTACATTATGATTCATAACAGTACCAAAATTACAATTATGAAGTAGCAATGAAAGTCATTTTATGGTTGGGGGTCACCACAACATGAGGAACTGTGTTTAAGGGTCACAGGATTAGGAAGGTTGAGAACCACTGCTATAAAAGGAATGAATGCTGATGAAATTTAGCCTGAATATACATATCTGCTTGCAGCTGAACCAACAAAGGAGGTATCTCCTTCAAACTCTCACAGAGATGTTTATGTAACTTGCCAGTAATTGGCTTCAGTCTCTTCTTCAACACATCTGAAGGGTGGGCATGTAATATTAAATTGAGATGCTTCAGTGGGGCAACTAAAACACAGCATCATTTTGTTGCAACTCAATTTACTTTCTAATAACCATCACCTCTTGTAACCAAAGAGCATGCTTTTCCCTATCTGACAACCCTGCAAATATTTGGAAATAATTATCACAGCTCCCATTATCTTACCCCAAAAGATCATCCTTCTTAAATATACCTCTGATTTCTTCAACAACTTACTCTGTGGCATGCCTTCCTATTTATGCCAATGTCAGACATAGCTCTGCCAGTAATTGACCCTCAGTATGAAGGCTTGTATGGATCTGCTTTCTTCAAGAAGCCTGAGCATTCTAGGTCCTGTTCTACCAATGAAGGTTAGG